TAAAAATGAATATAAGTTACTAGCCTATAATTACGTGATTGGTCGTTACTGTAGTACTATAAAAAATGGTTACCTGTAATTTTTCGCTTTAATTTTGAATGTCAAAGTGAGGACTAAGATCAATTGTTTAACGACGATAAACCTAACAATTGACATAACTACTAAATTTAACATGTTTTCATCTTTCGCGCCGATTCAAAATTCTTGTTGGGAATAGAAACCTTCTTGCTTCCTACTAAATAAGCAGAATTTGAATGAATTACAAAGTATAGTTATCCAATTTAAAATACTCGTTCATTCATTGGAGTATAACTAGCTAGTATTGTGATATATGCTGAATTGCTAATCTTTTCAACACATATTATCAACACGCTCAACGACACAATTGTCTCAACTTGTTTGTTCTAGTGATAATGAATACTACCTCCATCCCACTAAGATTGGGACGAGAGAAGGTAGCACAATTATTAAGAAAAATGAGTTTGTGTGGTTGATATTAAATGGATAAAGTAAAAATAAAGTAAGAATTATTTAAAACCACGCAATGTTTACCAAATTTGGTATGAGACAATCTTAATGGGACTTCCCGAAAAGGTAAAATGAGACAATCTTAACGGGACGGAGGGAGTAATAACTAACCCAATGTAGTGCTTTTTCATATTGTGTATTTTCGAATTTGTAGCCCCTCAAATATTATTCCGGTTCCTCCCTTAGCTTGATAGTACCAAATACCAATGCCTTCTTCCCCGACTTGGAGAAAGAGAGGCATTTAGATAATTAGATCCAGCGGTCACGGCTTGGATGAAAGTCATGAAACAATTCATATTAGGGGCATACGTCGTTGTGCGGGATATTCTCTAGTAACGAGTGGCCGGATAGAAGAAGAGACTTTAGTGATCAATCACCGGTCACAACAATCAAAGTGCACAACATGGAGGTAGCTCTTAAGATCCAAAAACATTGCAATTAAATAAATAAATAAATAAATAAATAAATAAATAAATAAATAAATAAATAAATAAATAAATAAATAAATAAATAAATAAATAAATAAATAAATAAATAAATAAATAAATAAATAAATAAATAAATAAATAAATAAATAAATAAATAAATAAATAAATAAATGAATAAATGAATAAATGAATAAATGAATAAATGAATAAATAAATAAATAAATAAATAAATAAATAAATAAATAAAGATAGTAGTACTCCAAAGGATAAAGGAACAAATAAAAATATATCTTAATTTACAAACTACAAAATTATCTTAGTCATTCGATTAGTTGATCTAAAGGCTATCGATGCGTGGCATTGTGGTATATTATAAATCATTTTTTGGCTGCATTACTTTAAGCATTAATATGCAAATGCTTATTAATGCATTAATATGCATTAGTACATACGGAGTACTATAGTAGCTCACTTTGACCTATTAAAATGGTTAAGAGTATTTAATTTTGGGAAAAGGTGCAAATAGGCCCATGTATAAACAAAAAAGGGAAAATGGAAACTAATAATTCAACCTTTTAGCGGTCTTCTTTTAATAGTCCCACATTTTCGTTATTCATGAATAATCCAACCTTTGCACCTCATCTTCATTCACTGGTCCCTGACCGGTTGATGACCTGCTATTCCAAGTTATTTTCTTATCTTTGCAAAATATTATCTTTGTGAAAGGTGGAATTTATGGTATAATAGTTTGGAGAAATGAGAAAATAACTCGGAATAGCAGGTCATCAACCGGTCGGGGACCAATGAATGAAGATGAGGTGTAAAGGTTGGATTATTCATGAATAACAAAAAGGTCGGACTATTAAAAGAAGACCGCTAAAAGGTTGGATTATTAGTTTCCATTTTCCCAACAAAAAAGGTCAAATAAGCCCTTACTTAAGAGGTTCTGTCCGGCCGTCGCCATTTGGGTTGGTTCCCAGTGGAATTTTTTGATGAAATTTTTTGAGCATCTTATTCATTAAGTCTAGTTTACTCATACCAAATTTCAGCTAAAACTTCAATCGGGAACGTATTCAAATGAATTCTTGAAAATAACTGCACAGTTAGAAGAGCAGTTATCTTCAAGAATTCATTTGAATGTCTTCCCAATTGAAGTTTTAGCTGAAATTTGATATGAGTAAACTAGACTTGATGAATAAGATGATCAAAAAAATTTATCAAAAATTCCACCGAGAACCACCCCAAATGAAGACGAACGGACAGAACCTCCTAAATAAGGGTTTATTTGACTTTTTTTTGTTAATACATGGGCCTATATGCACATTTTTTCTTTAATTTTCAGAGAACGTATGGATGTTGAGGTCCAACTAAGCTGCAGACCACGTGTCCCAAAAGTCCAAACAAGGCCGTGACGACCAAGTTTAATAACTGAGGGTTAGAGAGTAAAGACTGACCCGGCCAATAAGGCTGTGATCTCTATAAGAAAGGGGGCCATCAAAAATTTCCGCAGTCTTATTCCTGCTTCATGAAAAGTTGAAAATTATGCACTGACCAAACCATTTTATTTATACGGAGTATTTCTTAAAAATATAAAAAAGAGAATGGTACTACAAATTTCAAAAAATCATCATCCATTTTCATGTACTCCCTTCGTTCCATGATAAAAAAAGTACTCCCTTCATTCTTTATAATTTTGTTAGCATTCCTTTTTTTGTTCCAAATATAATCATTTTTCCTAATTTTGTTAGCATTCCTTTTTTGTTGTTCCAAATATAGTCATTTTTCCTTTTAATCAATTAACTTATGGCTCATGTCGTTTCTTTCTCTTCAGTACAAACGTCTATAATATAGTTTTTACGTTATTATATTTACAAGTCGGTCAAACATTACAAACTTTTAAGGGAGTAAATTGTAATCCTCAAACATTACAAACTTTCTCAAAATATACTCCAATTGCCTTTTATAATTATTATCTAAATAACTGATTACTTTTGCAATGATAACCTTTAAAAAAGGACGAGGTAGTACCTCATACCAATTTGAGATTACAGATGTTACAAATATGAGAAAATACAATATAAAAAGGGTGAAAACTTAAACAATTTATTAAATGTAAGACACTGATTTCACAAGGAAAGTAACACATTTATACTCAAAGGGGAAAGAAGTAAAACTAACAAAAAAGAGTGGCAAGGAGATGTGCTACGCCACTGTTGTTGAGCAAGCAATCTTCAGTTTAAACCTCTCCATCTATGAGTTGGAAGATGTTGGATGAACATATTATCATATCTTGGAGCTCAAGCTGCTGTAGCTTATCAGTCAACTGAAAAGACAAGTTGCCATTTTTATTAATCACTCCTTGACCAAAAGTCATGTTTGAAACCTCTTTTTTAGTTTCAAAAAAGAAAAAGGAAAATGGTATGTATGCTCAAATGAAGCTAGTTTTTCATGTAATTTGCATAGAATCTATTTTTCACACGTATTAATAGCACCTTCATTGGCCAATAGAGGCTTAATAGTGCCCTGTATTAGGCAGCAAATTAACATAGCACAAACGATTTAGGATGTTTATTTGGACTGTTTCCAGTCCCAGATCAAATCACCACCAGACCAGACAAGATTAAACCAAACTTCTATAGCTATAAACACACAGAGATCAAACATTTACCAGATCAGACCAGATAAGTTCATCCACACCAGATCAGACTAGACCAGATCAAAAAATTTGAGTGCAAAAAACATCTCGTGAGCCTATAGAGTATTTGGTAACTGGTAAGAGTTACCCGGCTGAAATGAATTCAATTGACTGGAAAGTGTGCCTGTTCGATAAGAGTATTTGGTAAGAGTTCTTGGGCAGTCAACATCAACCTAGCAACACTAAAGAAGGTTTTTAAATAAGACCATTCTTGGTGTACACAAGATGTACACAAAATTTGTACATTGCCTGTTTACACATGCAATTTGACATCAATCATGACCCTTTTAAACGAATTGGTTGTGTACAACTTATGTACACTAAGAATTTTCTGGTCTGGACCATTCTTGGTGTACACAAGATGTACACAAAATGTACGGGAGTGAGCTCTAAGGGAGGTAGGACCTTGGGGGCACTCGATCGAATCCCCCCGAAAGCAGCCCTTTCAATGTGAATCTCCTCTTCTTTTTGGCGATCCAAGTCAGCAATCTGAAAACCTGGCTAGCTTGTACCGGTAGCACTACTTCAAGAAAATAAAACATATTATACCTCCTTCCCAAATTGCAAATTGTTTCGTAAAGTCAACATTCTTTTGTCAACAAATGAAAAAGTTAAATTCTTTTTGTTGATAATTAATTCAATTTTAATAATTAAAATTTTCACATTAAGAACTTACATTAAAATTTCAATAAAGTTGTAAAATCCAAATAAAAAGTTAATTAAGAATTAATAATATTCTAATTAAGTGAATAAAATAAAATCATTTGACCCAAAAAATTCAACTTTGCAACTCAACTTGGGAAGGAGAAAAAGAATTTTTTTTCACACGCTAGTAGACTAGTAACTCAAACAACTTCCACTCCGAGCAGCCTCTTTACTAATTCACTTATCCGCTATAATGATTGCAATCATTCTTAACTTAGTTAGAGCTTGTTTGGTAGCATAAAAATCTGTTGATTTGGTTGATTTTGCTGAAATTTATGAAGTTTTGACTGAAGTGTGTGGTTGCATTGAATGATTCTGCTAGTTTAAGAAAAACTTATTTTTAAAATATATTTTATTAATAAAATAAAGAAAAAATTATATGTAAAAATAGTTAAAATGATCATCTACAATAACTTGAGCCAATATAGCCATAAAAGTAACTCCAACCTTACTTTTTCTACTTATTACACAATTCAGCGCGCGGAAACAAAAGTTAGGTGCTTGATGAAAAAGTTGACTGATAAGCCTGATAATCCAAAAACAATGTTGTCAAATGGCCTCTTAGAGTTTTCTTTTGGGAAATAGTTTGAAATAGAAGCAAAACATCGTCCGTGTACCCAAATAGGAGCAAAACATCCTATTAATGGAACGACACATCCTCTGCCGCACGGGAGAGTGCCTTGCGCGCAGGGGTCCGTCTGATGGAGAAGAGAGGGGGCGTTGAAATCTCCGAACGTCCACGTTTTGATCGGGCGGTTCTCTAGAGCCGGGCACGGTGCCTTGCTTTGAAGTTTTGCAAGGTTCCGGATCCCTATTAATCCCTAAATAGGAGTATTTTAAGTGTTCAGACCATATCTTCTCTCTCACCAAAGTATCTCTTCTGTGTCGATAGGTTCCTACCAAATACAGAACAAGTATCACAATCTCTTCCAAAATGAACCAGAGTTTCAAAGGAGAGCGGTGGTGCAAACACGCCGGTATGCTGACTCCGACGTAGTAGAGAGACAATACGGCGATGCGGAAATGGTTGCACGACACGACGACAATACAACAACGGCGGACTAGCAGCTGAATCCCCTAGGTGTTCGCCAACTCAGCGGGAATGGGATGGCGACACGGTGACAACACAATAGCGGCGGACTGGCATAGGATAGCCATGTTTATGCATCTCGGGATGCCATAAACTCATAAAGTTTTATACTAAAGTTGTTTTAGCTTGGCACTCGGTGTTATTTTCTGCCTAATTGGCAATATTAAGAGGTAGTTCTTTATTTCTATATTTTGTTGTTCAAATGAATATATATTGCTTTTGGTTATTTGGATCTCGTTGGACTTTGATAGAGAATTCGCCGGAGATTTGGAGCAATTTCTGCGGAGTCCGTAGTAGATCTAGGAAGAATGGAGGAACGACATCAGCCTGAAGTCACGTCAAAGAAGATGGATAGTGTCAGGACTCAGGCTAGAGGACATGATGTTAGCAGAGGTTGCGACGGAGGACACTTTGACGATGGGATATGGTGACGGTCGTACCCTACCAATAGCCTTCATGCAAATGAGAATGTGAGATGTAGATTAAGGCATCTGAAGAGTTTTTGTTTTAATTTTTATATTTTATTAAAAAACCATGAATGTTTAATTAAGGGCAATTCAATCGAATCAGGCCTTTTTTGCTCCTACCAAACGTTCAGCTCCTATTGTTGCACTAGTCCATTGTTTTACTCGTATGGAAGGAATTAACTGTTTTCTCTTCCAATTTTTTCGGTTCTTAACCATTTTCATAGGATAGATGTACGATCGACCTAGGGAGAACTTTTCGTGGAGAGGACCTAGCCGCCGTGGCTAGGATATAGTTTTGATCGGGCAATCATTCGCCCATAGTCTTTCAAGGCTGAAGCAATATTCGGCAATCGGCAGGGTTATCACGAAAGAAGAGCCAGGCTTTGATAGGAAGCTTTGACAGACGAGTTCGAGTCCGGGCGATTGGGCAAAGAAAATGGAGCAGATGAACAACGGCGGGGTGGACGCGCTGGCCAATGCTTATGAGCGGCTGGATCTGGAGGAGGTCCTCGTGGTCACTCCTGTGGCACCGAACTCCTCCAAGCACAATCTGACCATGGTGGGAACTATAACCTCGGATATGTCGGTACGTTTTTCTCAGTTTAGATATATTATGGCATCTGTGTGGAAACCTGAAAATTGGGTTACTATAACTGAAATGGGTCCTAGGAGGTTTGTGTTTCGGTTCTATAACGAGGAGGATGTCATTAAGGTGGAAGAGGAGGGACTGTGGCTTTTTTTTTTTATCAAAATTTAATTGTTATGAGTAGGCTCAAAGAGGGAGATATTCCCCTATCTGTCCCACTGAATAAAGCGGATTTTTGGGTTCAAGTTCATGATATTCCAGTGTGATACTTCACTGTTGAAAATGCGGAACGTATTGGGAATTTTTTAGTCACTTTTTTAAAAGTGGATGACAATAATTTTCTGAGAATTGGGGGTCCTTTATGAGAATTCGTGTTTGCATTGATCTGGGAAAGCCTTTGAAAAGAAGGTTAGTTCTGCAAAAGGATGAAGGAGTCACATTCCGTGTTAGATTTTGTTATGAGAAACTGCCCAGCTTTTGCTTTCTGTGTGGTATAATAGGCCATGCAGAGAGTCATTGCCCGCGTAAGCGAAGGGGATACGAAGTCACTGGTGAAAGGCCATTTGGGCCTTGGCTTAGAGCTGCAAAAGGGGCTAAGCAGTGGAAAGAGAACAAATGGCTTGTTCCAATAGGGAGAGGAATAAGTTCTGATAGCAAAATTACCGGCGGAAATAGAGAGGAAAGCATGTGTTTAGGTACGGTGGAAGGCGGTCTCTCATCACATGAGAGGGGGTCCTTTGAGCAGAAACGGAGACGTGTGGAGGACTCGACAGAGCACCAATCCAGGGAGGAGATAGAGATTGTTTATACGGGGGGGGGGGGGGGGGGGGGGGGGGGGGGGGGGGGGAGCTACTAACTTGTAGCTCGCCAGGCAGAACTTTGAGAGTCACTGGACCGCATCTTTGGGGGTTGAATAAGGCCGAGAGCCAGGAAGACTATTTATTTTTGCTCTTTTTCATTTTACTTTGCTCATGTTGCTTTTATTTTTGTTTGGTACTCTAGCGGTAGGTTGAGGTTTGTTTTTTCGTACTTGGTTTGGGATGATGTTTTTGGTGGAAGCGATAAGACTTGTTTGGCTATTAAAAGCTTCGAAACTCTCACATGGTTCGCGAATAGTCTCGCTCCTTCCGAGGTGGTCTATTCTAAGTCTAGCCAGAGAGTGGGGGGTGCCTTTGGGCTATGCGGAACCTCATGAAGAGGTTTGGCGTTACACGTGGGGTAGTAATTGTAGATGCTTGATTGAGAAGGTTTGGGTTGATTGTAAGAGGGGAAGTATGTTGAGTCGTTTGATTGATATAATATAATCAGTTTCCTTTAAAAAAACCATTTTCATAGATTTCTTTTAACAGAATAATAATTTGTTATAACAAACTTATTATATGGCTGTTTTTTGAAAAATAAACGTATTTATATGATGCTTTTTTAGTACATTAGCTTAAATGACGGATTGAAAATAATAAAAGAAAGCAATGTTATAAAAGTGTGAGCATTTTCATCTAATGTACATAACTATTGCACTGTACCAATAATTTGTAGGTAAGAAATGTGTGAAAGGATGCTCGTACATGTCAAATTTGAAAGGAGATATAATTAGTATAGGCACTAGACAAATATAACTCCTAGACAAATATAACTCCTTTAGCAACAACATAACTCATTCGAATTTTATGCTTTTGGAAAATTTGAATAATATGTATATTTGATGTTGCTTTTAAAGAAAGAGTCCCACTGAATTTTTTTTTTTGGATGAGAGTCCCACTGAAATTGAATATGTATAATCCAGTCAAACCAATTAAGCAATTTAAGAGCCCGTTTGGTAATACCCAAATTGGTTTTATTAGCTGATTTTGATGAAATTTATGAAGTTCTGACTCAAGTAGTTAGATTGGTTGATTCTGATGAAATTTAGGAAGTTATGGCTCAAGTGGTTGGAATGTTGAATTGGTTGATTCTGATAATTTATGAAAAATTTAAGAGTTTTTTCCACTTTTAGTCCTTCGACTATTATGTCACTGACACTTTTGGTACTCAACTTTGATTTTTTCCACTTTTAGTCATCACCTATTATACTAGAGACACTTTTGGTACCTATCTTTGAAAATTTCCATTTATAATCTTTCGACTTACATAAAAGTGACACTTTTGGTCCTCCAACTATTATAACAGTGACATTTTTAGTCCGTCACTTATTGTGTCAAAATCATAGTGGAAGGACTAAAAGTGTCAATTTGATAATATCAAAGGACTAAATGTGAAACACTTTGAAGTCGAGGACTAAAAGTGTCTCTAACACAATAGGTGAGGACTAAAAATGGAAAAATTAAAAGTCGAATACCAAAAGTGTCACTGACACAATAGTCGAGTGATCGAAAATGGAAAAAACTCCAAATTTAAATTTAAAATATATTTTATTAATTAAATAAAGAAAAAATTATATGAAAAAATAGCTAAAATGATTTTTTATAGTAACTTCAACCAATACAATCGGAAAAGTAACTCCAATCTTACTTTTTCTTATTATAACAAAATTCAAGGCGCGAAAAAAAAGTTACATGTTTGGTTCAAAAAGTTGACCAAACAAACCCTAAAAATACAGTACAGGTTTTTATTATAAAAATTGTCTATAGGTTAAACATAACATTGTTTTTGAATGGAATTACTAAGCACCAAAAATAGGGTGGACCACCGGAGTGAATTCACTGTCCGTTGCACCGTAGGACAGTAAGACAGTAGGACTTAATCACAACCGAACATTACTGGTGGACTCAGGTTAGGCCGTCCGGCCCGGTCCGGGCCACCCAAACCGGGAATAAAACAGGGCGGTCTCGGGCCTCCTAAAAGTGGAACCGGCCCGGTCAAGCCAGGCCTATTTCTTTTTTTTTTTCCTTCAATTTTTTTGGTTTCTCCCGGGTTGGGCTGGGTGTTTTGGGGGGTTTGAGGGGTGGGGGTGAAGGGGGGTGGGGGTCGAGGGTTAATTAGAAAAGCAAAAGAAAAAAAAAATAACACGACAGACCCGGCCCAGATCCGGTCCATCACTACCAAACATACCGAGTTTGTTACTTTGTTTCTGGACTCCCCGACCTGTTTGGCTGTTTGGGGCAGTTACCTGCTAGCTGATTGGCCTGATTCCGGTGTTTAGCCAAATATTTACAAGTGAGTATAATGGTGATGGGTTAGGTAACCCAAGAGTAGTAGGAAACTAGAGATAAGTTGAACTAATTCTAGATGCAAAAAATGTGTACTCCCTCCGTCCCCCTAAGTTTGTCCCGTTTTACCTCTTTCGTCCGTCCCACTAAGTTTGTCCCATACCATAATTGGTAACATTTGAGTGGTTAGAATTCATTCTTACTTTATTTACACTTTATCAATTCAATACCAACCACACAATTCCACTTTTTCTTAAAAACCACACCACACCCCTCCGTCCCAAACTTAGGGGGACGGAGGGAGTATTAAATTTAACAGAATAACAATACAACCATTAAACGGGATCTTCATTTCTCATTGGAAGGTGCTATTTATAGGCAAATACAAGGTTTGGGTCATAGGCCCAAAATGCTAGCTAATGAGAGAGTGAAAATGTTTATTGAAAGCCGGGGCACGATTACAGATGTTACAAATACCAGAAAAAAACAAGGAAACAGTGAAACTTTAACAGCTAAATAAATTTCACACTCATTTCACAAGAAGATAATACATGTATACTAAGAGGAGAAACGAGTAAAAATAACCAAAAAGAGTTGAGGATATTTCACGCTAAATCTTCACACTGGCATGCCGGTGTGGCTTTATTTCACCCACAAATTTAGCCATTGATTCAAATTGAACCAGATAAGCAGGATAGGCGAGGCCACCGCTGTTGAGCAAGAAGTCTTCAGCTAACTAAATGGCTAGGTGAGCTACTAAACATGGCATGCCACATGTAAGCCCGTGAGAGCACCATTTCCAACTCTAAATCACTCCATCTATGAGTTGGAAGATGTTGGATAAACATTACCATATCTTGGAACTCAAGCTGCTGTAGCTTATCAGTCCACTGAAATGACAAGTTGCAACTGTTACTAATCCCTCCTTCCCCAAAAAGAGACATGTTTGAATCCTCTTTTTTTTTTATTTCAAGGAAGAAAAGGGGAAAATGGTATGTATGAGCAAATGAAGCTAGTTTTTCATGTAATTTGCAAAAAAAAAAAACAAGTCCCATGTGATAATTTAGTAACCAACATAAACTAAATAAATAATGTGTAGGATTAACGAATTATAGCAGTTGTAAACTTGTAATTACCAAATTAATAAACAAAATATGTGCCTTGGTCAGACTTGAACTTTTCACTTCACGTAAACTTGTGACTTGTTCAAGCAGACTACTTTTGTGGTCAAACAAATCTGAGAACCGAAGGGCAGAGAATGCATCTCACCGTTAGTAGGAAACTGGCAGCTATGTACACAAGGAAATCTGGCAGTGCATCACCTTCTGCTATATAAGTGTCCCACAGACGATGAACTAGGTGGAATGGGATCTATGCGTAACCAAAGCCATTGATTAGCTCAAAACTCAAAAAATGACAGTTTCAAATTAATGATCAAAAGACCAAGAGACACACCTCGCGTATTAACAGACAATTGAACCAGCGGAAAGCAAATTGTAGAAATTCAAGTCCTTGCTCCTCCATGTGTCTTAAGATGGGCTCTGGTTTTCACAAGCATAAAGCATTGATTGCATTAAAGTGATTTTTTCTAAGGTTGGCTCCTTCAATTATACCAATAAAAAATGGCACAAATGTATAATAGTACTAATGTGTTCCAGTACCTATATTATTAGGTGTTGCCTTTTAATTTACATATTTTCATTTCTGGGATTCCAAGATAGATGTTGTTCAATATTCATTGACTAATTTTACAGAAGGGTAAACGTGAGAATTCCACATAAAATCAATTCATCCCAACTAATTTAAATCAGTCCCTCCTCTGGATGGAGTAATTTTTAAGAATGTCTTTATTTTTTTAAACATAAAGTAGATGCGTAAATAACTAGATACTTAATGTTTCACTTCTCATTTATACAATGAGCTGAAAGCAAACTTTTTCAAAAGTCATATGTTTTGCCATTTTGCATAGAACCTATTCTTAACACGTGTTTTATAGCACCTTCATTGGCCAATATAGACTTCAAATCACCCTGTATTAGGGAGAAAATTAACAGAGCACAAACGATTTACTGATTTAGAGCCTATTTTGTAAGAGTTACTTGGCTAAAATGAAATGACTATTGTTCCATATAATCAATTTCAGCCAAAGGCTGCTTAGAGACAACCTACGCCTCAAAATACAATACCATTGTTCGAGAACAGTATGTAGCTATTTTACACAATCCTTCCAAATATAGGCTGTAAGCTGTAGCAAATGCAAGGGTTATAAAGAATACAAAAACATACCATCAATCCGTCTAACCAACTCCTTTAGCTTAAAGACCAATCGTTGAATTCCAGGTTGAGCAAATGTGTAATGATCTTGCATGCAATCAAGCAACTTTGTTAGGCACCAATAACAGTCAGCTTCTACGTTAGATATTTTCTCAGCAGGAAGATCAGCTATCTTCCAATTATCAATGCTTCCCTCTAAGTGCTCCGATAAAAAAACAACCATAAAGGGTGTTGCTAGGTCATTAATTCCCTGTACATAGCCACTCGCAGGATGCCGAATGGCCCTACAATATATAAAATGAAAGATTAACATCACATGAATGATATTCTGCTAATTTTTATAATCCATAAAGACCCTAGAAATTAAGAATATGAGACAAAGGGTAGAGTGTCCAACCATGTGTAAAGTATGCGCTCCAGTGATTTCTGGACTTTTTCTTGTTGAAAGAAAGTGACATCGGGAACTGTTCTTGGGCAATCAACAGCAATCTAGCAGCACAAAAGAAGGTTTATAATTAAATGAAGTACGAATGACAGATATGGAAATTGATAACTAGAAGTCATCCTACAACATCCATGATACCTGCCGGAGCATGGTTATCTCTTCACTCGTGCGCTCAGTGTCTGGAATATCATAATACTGAGCAACACAATCAAGATACTCAAGGCGCTTTCTTGTCAAAACTCCCTCCCTTCTATCTGAATTAGGGGGTGCATATCCCTGTGGTCAGTTTTTTATTTAATTCAAAAGCAACAAAAGTATTTTTTAGAACTACAAGTAACAAAAATAGTTAAATACATGCCTAATTCGACTTGATAGGCTAAAAATGCTGAAAGTAATATAATAGAAGTGTGAGCAAATAAATTTTTATCAATGAAATCATAGTGGGCAAAGGAGTACAGGGGGAGGGGGCAACACATAAACTTTGAGAGTTGTTCTAATTAGGAATAGGAATGTTGCACTGTTTTGTTACGGGTGCAGGGGAGCGGAGTGAAGGAAGCTAGTAGATCTATAATAAACTTTGTGGTCATCCAACAAAGATGAGAGGCATTTGCACCATTGCAGTATCAAACTTATTAACAGAACACCAGAATCCATGTTCGTACAGACTGAAACTTGTGAATGAAATACCCGCCC